CTTGATGCAGACTTTTGGTTCTGGCTTCCATTTGGGGGGTTGGGGGTCCTAAAACTACAGGGCAGTAGTGCCCTACCAATAGGCTGGTGGCTGGCTGGAGGTTAGGTATCTTTCAATCTCCCAAAACCCAATTCCCATATCCATTTCTTTTTACACTATTCTTTCCTAGGCTTCCTCATTGGCATCTTCTTCCTCTTAAACACATCATGGATGTACCCATTTCACAAACCTCCATAAAGTGTCTTAAAATGAGCAGACACATCTACACTGAGCTCAAATAGTACCATGCTAGTGTTACTCACAAGTCCTTATTTTTCTAATCTTACATTCAACTCTACTTTCTCACATCGAACTAAAAGGTTAGGTTACTACCTGCTTGCCTCTACGGGAGAGGTTGACTTTGTACCGTCCGGAGGTCATATAGATCGGAATCCTCGAGAAGGGAGAAGGGCGACTGTCCGCTGGAAATGGTAGAAATCGATTCCAGTGGAACCCACGCTTACTCAGGATATCTAATTTCATAGGGGACAAGCATTTGTTTTCACTTTTATAGTTTTTAAAAGTTATTCTACTTTAATGAATTGAGCTAAGTTGAAGTTGACTACAGTCATCTATCACATAGATTTAAAAACAATTTTAAAGGTTGAATGGCCATGTGCAGTATTAAAGCAAGATTTCAACCCAAGAACAATTTGTAATATGCAGATTGAATATTATATATGATAAGCATGAATAGAATAGAATTCTCCTGAGACAGACGGTGCTTTTGCAAGCACTGGATTATCTGTCTGAATGTGGCCTGATTCAGCCCCTTTTCAAAGGGTAAGAAGGAAGACGACTGTCACAATCCACTTCCCTTTCTGTTTTACAAAACTAAAGTGGATTCCCTGTTGACTTAATAACAGTTCCAAAATTACCACACACAAGAAAGTAACCAAAATCTCATCTGATTGTGAATCAAGTTCCAAGCAAATAGCCTACGTTTTTGCTAATTACCTCGAAAGAAACACAGCGAAAAGGATCCGGCATCATCCTATCCACACAACTTCGGAGGCAGAAGTGTGGGTCTTTTTTGGCCAGAGGGAGATGACTCAGGGACCACTTAATGATAACGAGAGAACGTGGGTGGCGTTCTTGGACTCTCGAGGCTTTTTCATGTTGGGTAATTTGCTCTATCGAAAGTCCCCACTGCCTACAAGATTAAACAAAACCCAAGGGGAAAATTATTGCTCTTTCTTTCTGGATTCCTGTTTTGGTCGTCTCCGTGGAGGTTTGTTTCTCGTAACATTCTTTCTCCCTGTTGTACTGTACTTGAAGCACAGTTAACACAACTTCATCGAAGATGAACAAAGTTACAAACGTCCCATAGATTTATATGCCACTGGGTAGGGCCATTTCTTCAATTTAGACCGCCCCATTTCTCCCTCTGCTCTGTAATTTTGTTAAAGTTGAAGCTTTATTGCGTGGGCGAACAGGGACCTTTAGAAAAAGAGAACGAAATCTCGAGCGGCAGAAAGCTGCTTCTGCGAGCTCGATCCTCGCCGGTCTCTGTAATGCATCTTTGAGCCTCTGTTTAAGGTCGTTGACAATCTGGGCGCATGGTTTTCAAAGTCATTGATTCAGTCACTGTTCTGTTCCGACTTCCCGCTACCTCTGTTTTTCTGATTTTCTTCTCTCTGTTTCTTCCTTTCTTGATTATTGGGTTTTCGTGATTTCTCCAAGCCTCCAAATTGATTGATATACTCTCTCTGCCCCCTTTTTGGGATTTGGGTTTTGATAATTTAATTGTCTTCCTCTTTGTTCTTTTGCTGTAACGCATTTTTTTTTTTAATTTTAACGCAGTAGATCAAGAATGTCGTTTTCATGTCTGTCCGAATTTTCTCATCGAAATCTAGAAATTTTTGGGTGTTGAAGTCTCATGTTTAATCCGCAGGAAATCTCGGGGTGTACTTTTTGATTAAGTTGTTGGCTGCCTTTCTGCAACACTATATTCCTGAAGTCTAAAAGGTAAGGTATGTGCAGAATCTGAAAGATTTTCTCGGCTTTTCTTCTCCGATTTTCCGGCATTTTCTCCACAATTCCAGCTCTGGGGTGTTCCAAAAAACTTCAATTCGGAAGATTGATCAGAAAATTTCTTCTTCTTGCGTTTTGCCTGCGAGTGGGTAGTTAAGCTTGCGGCGTAGTGCAGTATTTATTTCTGTTCGCGTTCTCGGTGCCACTGCCAGAGGTTCGTACAGGAAACGAGTTATTGGCGCGTGAACCTGATGAATTTTCCGGCGATTCTTGTCACGCGCTTTATTTCATTTCCGTATTTACACTGATGGGTTGCGTTTATTCGAGGGTTTGTATCGGCGAGCCTTCTTCTTCTACTCCAAAAACTGCGAGAACAACCGGAACACAATATGCGAAACCTGGCGCTGAAATCGACACGATCTCTTCTTCGTCTTCCGATAGCCAAGAAGCCGAAGTCGGTGACCGGCTGAATCAATTGAGCTCAAACAACAGAGATTCAGAAGTCGGAATCACGAGGCTCTCGAGAGTTTCGTCGCAGTTCTTGCCCGCCGATGGGTCCCGAATCGTCAAGGTTCCTTCTGGAAACTTTGAATTGCAGTATTCGTTTCTTTCGCAAAGAGGGTATTACCCCGATGCCCTCGATAAGGCGAACCAAGACAGTTTTTGCATCCACACCCCATTTGGGAATAGCCCAGATGACCATTTCTTTGGGGTTTTCGATGGGCATGGGGAATTTGGAACACAGTGCTCGCAGTTCGTAAAACGGAAGCTATGTGAAAATTTACTTAGGAATAGTAGGTTCCACAGTGACGCAGTTGAGGCATGCCATGCAGCGTTTCTGACCACTAATTCACAGTTACACGCAGATATCTTGGATGATAGCATGAGCGGTACTACTGCCATTACTGTTTTAGTTAGAGGTAGGACTATATATGTAGCTAATTCAGGTGATTCGAGAGCGGTTCTAGCAGAGCGGAGAGGGAAGGAAGTTGTAGCGGTCGACCTCTCGATCGATCAAACTCCATTCCGAACCGATGAAGTTGAACGTGTTAAGCTTTGTGGTGCTAGAGTTCTTACACTTGATCAGATCGAGGGGCTGAAAAACCCGGATGTTCAGTGCTGGGACACTGAAGAAGGAGATGATGGTGATCCTCCAAGGCTGTGGGTGCCTAATGGGATGTACCCTGGCACAGCTTTCACCAGAAGTATAGGTGACTCAATTGCTGAGACTATCGGAGTTGTCGCTACGCCTGAAATTGTTGTTCTGGAGCTGACACCGGATCATCCTTTCTTTGTTGTTGCTAGTGATGGAGTATTTGAGTTTCTTTCGAGCCAGATGGTTGTTGATATGGTAATGCACTTTATAATATGTTGTTTATGTCCAGCTCCAGATCAAGGCATATTGGCTGCTAATTCTTGATTACAGCATAAGGCAATAATGAATAATATAGCTCCTTCAACATAATATTGTATTTTCGTGCTTTTCACTGTGTGTTCTCTCTAATGCTCCTCATTTGATGTTATCTTCCAGGTTTCCAAGTATAAAGATCCCCGCGATGCTTGTGCTGCAATTGTGGCTGAGTCTTACAGACTTTGGCTTCAGTTTGAAACACGAACAGATGATATCACTGTTATTGTGGTGCATATTAATGGGCTAACTGATGTACAATTACTTCCCTTATCTTTTTTCCATTCAAGTGGAAGTTTAAAAATCATTAGTTTCTATAGTTTCTTACATTTAGTTCAACAGATATTTGCTTTATTTGGATAGATGGTTAATAGTGAATCAACAAGATCCAGCAGTGGTGGTTTTACTCGATCTCCAATTCCTCAAGTCGTGGAAGTTACAGGATCAGAATCTCCCTCTACCTTTGGCTGGAACAGGAATCACCGTGTGAGGCAAGATTTGTCAAGGGCACGTCTCCGGGCTATTGAAAGTTCCCTAGAGAATGGGCAAGTCTGGGTGGCTCCATCTCCAGCCCACAGGAAGACTTGGGAAGAAGAAGTAAACTCATGTCTTGCTTCTTATATCCTGACTATCAAGAAAATTAATACAGATTTGTTTCGTTTATGACTTACCCTTAATGAACCTTTGAGTGCTGAGTTCTTGGTTTCGTATTTTACAGGCACATATTGAACGGGCATTGCACGACCATTTCCTCTTCAGAAAACTAACTGATTCTCAGTGCCAAGTTTTATTAGATTGCATGCAAAGAGTTGAGGTCCTACCGGGACAAATTGTAGTCGAACAAGTAGTTTTCTTTCTTTATCTCTTTTTTCCTTCACTTTTCATGAAAGCCAACCGCTATTCCGAAATCAAATATGCATGCCAACAAGTTGAGAAAAAAAAATGTGGACTATTTCAGCATAATCAGGTCAAACCACCAAAAATATATTCGAAGGGAGAACAAGTGCAAAGATATGACTGCAAAACGTAAATCAATAGTGATCATGAATGGGAAATATGAATTTAACATGATGTAATTCTGGTGGATTTTGTAGATGAATGAATTAGGATGTTAATTACTTATCATGTGTATGGACCATGTTGGTTTGTAGGGTGGTGAAGGTGACTGTTTTTATGTTGTTGGCAGTGGAGAATTTGAGGTTTTGACAACCCAGGTTCATATCATTTTTCTTTCTTTTAATCCATTATTGCACATTGAAGGTATTTCCTTGAGATTTACTATAGGCTAGATGCTATCATCGTAATTGTAGGAAGAAAACAATTTGGAGGTCCCCCGGGTTCTGCATCACTATACAGCTGAGAAGCTATCTTCCTTCGGGGAATTGGCTTTGATGTGAGTTTTCTTTTGTTAACTGCAGCACTATATGATCACATGAGGGTGATGCTTTTGGTTAATGAGTTTTGTATGTAGGTATAACAAACCACTTCAAGCCTCGGTACGTGCTGTGACGAGTGGGACACTCTGGGCTTTGAAAAGAGAGGATTTTCGTGGAATTCTTATATCAGAATTTTCTAATTTGTCATCTTTGAAATTGCTTCGATCTGTGGACCTTCTGTCGAAGTTAACAATCTTGCAATTGAGTCACATTGCAGATTGCCTTTCTGAAGTTACGTTCTCAGATGGGCAGCTTATAGTTGATGGGGTATCCTTATTTCACAACGTCTCATAACTTTCCTTTTAAATTCTGTTATCTTTATAACTATTCAGGTAAATTTTTTTTTTCCAGACCGAAGACTTATGTGCATTGCRCATTGTTCAAAAGGGACAAGTGAGGATTACTTTTGATGCTGAGATAATGAGCAGTTCAAACGTTTACAGCTTCAATTATGCCACTAAAAAAGAGGATGATTCTGCACAGAGTGGTAAAGAGATCTCAGTTATTAAGAAAGAGGGGAGTTATTTTGGCGAATGGGCACTTCTTGGTGACCGTATTGGCTTCTTACGAGCAGTTGCTTTGGGAGATGCTGTGTGCGCTATTCTAACAAAGGAAAAGTTTGAGTCAGTTGTTGGCCCTTTACCAAAGCCCTCTCAAGATAATCAAAGGTATATTGCTTTTGCATTTGGGTTGTGTCAGCATACTTTTGACATTTTTTGCTCTATTTCTTATTACAGATCCATATTATAGCTTGAGTTGTTCACATTGTTTAAATCCACGTAGGGCAAAGGAACATTCTTCAGACAATCTCCATCACTCTGCCAAAATTATGGATATTTCAGCTCTTTCAAAAGTTGAGCTCACTGATCTGGTGAGAATGCATTTCTCTGTTAGGTTAGAGGTTATGCTAATGCAAGTATGATTTTTCTGCTGAAAGTAGTCACCTTCATGTTATCTTATTTGATTATTTTTGTTTGTAGGAGTGGATAACTTGTTTATATTCCACAGAATACAGCGAGATTGGGCTAGTTCGGTTAAGGAACACAGGTTATCTTATAGTTTCTTGTCATTCTTCTTTATAATTGGCTGTGAATAATATTCTTCTTCGATGGCTACTTTTCAAGCTGATGGAACTGCCTTGGTGGGTTTGATTTTCAACCAGAAACTATGCTTAGTTTAAAAAGGTTTACCAGACAGAAGGTCAAAAGGCTGGGACTAGAAGCACAAGTTTTGAAGGAGAAAAACCTTATGAAGAGCATCAGTCCTTCAGCTTGCATGCCGCAATTTCTCTGCACTTGTTTAGATCGATCACATGCTGGCATATTGCTAAAAACGTGCCTTGCTTGTCCTTTGTCTTCGATACTTCATGTCCCGCTCGATGAATCTTCGGCACGTTTCTGTGCAGCCTCACTTGTCACAGCATTGGAAGATTTGCACAAGGTTTGATGATATGGACTTGCTGTTTGCTGTCTTTTCGTTTCCTTTCGTTGATTAATGTTTCCGTATAATTTTTTGACTTCCTCTTTCTATAACTCTTCATTTGAATTTTCAGCTTGGTGTTCTCTACAGAGGAATCTCCCCTGATGTTCTAATGTTGGATCAAACTGGACGCATACAGGTTTATATCTGCTCCTATTTTTTCGTATTCAAGGTCTCCATCAACAATTGGAACAGCCGGCTTATATTTTCTTTTATCTATCTTATTGCAGTTAATAGACTTCAGATTTGGGAAGAAAACATCCGGCGAGAGAACGAATACTATTTGCGGGACTGCAGACTTTTTAGCACCCGAGATAGTTCAGGGCAATGGTCATGGTTTCACTGCTGACTGGTAAAGATGCAACTTTGTTCTCGACTTGTTCATTTGGAAAATAACTTGATGCTTACAGAATCGTAAATGAGAAAAGTATTCAAGCCGAACTTCACCTCTTTCACATTTGAACCTATAACTCCCTAACGGTGTTAAAAACGTCCAGGTGGGCACTGGGAGTCTTAATCTATTTCATGCTGAAAGGTGAAATGCCATTCGGATCATGGAGACAAAGCGAGCTCGATACTTTTTCAAAGATTGCAAAAGGACAACTAAGTCTTCCCCAGATTTTCAGTCCTGAAGCCATTGATCTCATTGTCAAGGTAATGCTAATGATCAACAATCTCCTCTCTCTACCTTTTTCCCATTTCCACCTGCGATGACTGACCGTGTACTATGCCACGCCAAATTTTATATCGTAATTTTCACTTATTCTAATCTATGATTTGATCAGTTACTTGAAGTTGATGAGAAGAAAAGGCTTGGAAGCGAGAATCCGAACTCTGTAAGAAGACATCCATGGTTTAATGGTGTTGATTGGAAGGGGATCCATGATGGTACCTTTCCCGTTCCTGATGCAATCACTTCTCGTGTGGCTCAATATTTGGAGAGCTACGCTGAAGATTGCAGCGTTTCTTTAGTTAAACCGCCTCAAGATCCCGAAGAACAGGACGCCACCGATTGGATCAACGACTGGTAGAAGCACAACACTGAAAAACTCTTGTGCAGGCTTTTTCCTGGTGCAGTCTGTCTTCTGCCGATCGAAAAGGGCCGACATAATACCAGTAAGTTGCAGCATATCAAGTTCATGGAAAGATTAGGTTGGTGAATTGATCTTATTTTTCCCATTTTTTGTTTGTTAAAATTTGATTCCTTGTGAATACAGAATAGGTATATATATATATATGTAAATGAAGGAGAGTTCATTTTTTCTCTACAGTCAAATGATTACTTGTGGAGACTTGTGTTACAGGCTGACTCTGCTGATAATAATTCCTTCTTATTCTTCATCCAGTGGCTTTATTGCTCGTTTTGTGGAGTTCATTTAACCTTAATATGTTGGCTCTCTTCTTTTTAATTTTGTAAAAAAAAAAAAAACGCATCTCTTAACTTGATGAATTGCATCTATGGGTTGAGAACCTAATTGGAAAGTTGCTTTGGATAATTAAAATCATAATATGGATTTGAAATATAATTGTTATCGATTTTTTATTCTTTATTTTTTATTATTTTGTTTTGTTATGCATTACCCATTAATTTGGCTTGGTTGCAGGAACAAGAATTGAACTTCATTGGGGTTTTAACCTTAAATTAGGAGGAAGCTGAAATCATAATTAACATTTAGGATTTTTTGTGTTTGTAATTCTTATAAAATTCGTCAATTCAGATTTCTCAAACATACCATTTATTTTGCTTACTAATTTTTATATCTGGTGAATATAATTTAACGGTTAAAATATTAGTAACCTTCTAGATTTGGATTTTTACCTATTTTTTGTATATCGCCTATTTGAATATAATTTTAATGGTTAAAATTTTAGAATTTTTACCTATTTATTTTTTCTAAAATGGACCATCATAGTATCATAGTTCAACAGTAATTAGTATGTGTTTTTTAGTTGAAGGTTGGATCTCTTATTTCTCCAAATTGTTGTATTAAAAAAGATATATATCAACTTTTAAAATTGTCATAGATGCCTTTAATTAAGTTGATATATATATATACACAAAAATAGTTTAATTATTGTTTAAAGGAGTATAATTGTTTATGATAAATTCAATTGTAGTTGTAATTTAATTTGTTTAAATAACCCATTGGCATGCCCATTGACTTTATTTTGAGTTATTTTGGGAGTGATCAATTAAAAAAGAGAAAAGAAAAAACAAAGTAGAAGAGATTTTCCAGCTGAAAATATGGAAATAATAAGAATTTCGTCCCACGCGACCATCAAAATTCCATGCATTTATTTATTTAACTTCAACCCATTCTCTACATTTTTTTCTTCGTCATCACAACTATTATTGTTTTAATTTAATTCAATCACTTGATGCGACCATACTTCTCTTTAGAAGTATATATTTTTTTCTCTTTTTAAATCTAAGAATTTCATTTATTTATTTAATCAAGCATTTACCCTTGCATACTATGAATGTGGATGTTTTTGATTTTTTTTTTTTTTTATAACCGCCTGCTGACTAATTTTGTAAGAATATTCATTTGACTCTATCACATAGGACGTCTAAGAAAATCATAAAATACTTCATATTTTAGACCAATAATCATTATCACTATGATTTGAAACTAAAACTTATAAAGTTGTGAATTTACTCCTTGATCCTAAAAAAATTATCCAATAGACTTTTACTTGAAGAATATTAAGTGATCAAAACAAGATTAGTTATAAATAAATAATTAATTACACAATTTTAGGATGTATTTGCATGGATTTTTCTCATTACCGAATCTGGGTGACACGAAAGAAATCTCTCCACTGTGATTATAAAATCAAAGTTTTTTCCAAAACTTCCATTATTTTCTTATAAACTTGTGGAGAAAGTTTCTCTTGGGGAAAAGAAAAATTGAGTTTAACAACAAAAAGAATTGCAAACCATATAAATAGATATATAAATAAAATAGAAAAATTATTTCTTTTATCTACTTTTTCTTGAGATTCAACTTCAACATTGATTTGAAAATCAACTTTTCAAAACGAAATATAGGAAAACATCAAACATATAGACAAAAATATTGATAAAATGAATGTAAATAATAACAATGTTTAATTTATTTCAGGATACCTCCTTCAATATTTTCATAAAAATTGAGAGCTAAATATTTTACTTATTCATGTTTATGATGATAATTTCTTGAAGGTGAAGAAAAAGTCAAAGCTGAAACTGCAAGTAATATGATTTTTGAAATCTAAGCCAAAGACAACCAAGAAGACCCACCCCTTACGTCAATGCTGGAAACCAAAATTATATTTTATTTATAAGAAAAAAAAATTGATCTTGGGGCAGCCATTAATCAAATTGTTCCAATCAACACCCTCTTTTTAATGCCAAAATTTCTGCAACTTTGCTTTTTATATACATATATATGTATTTATTATATAATCTTCTTGTTCTCTTGTGCGGCTGGCTGCATGCTGTTTGACTTGGAGCAGGCAAAGAATCCTGGGTTTTCTTTTTCCCATTAATTTATCATCTCCAGTTTTGTTTTGTTCTCTTTTTTAGGGTTCTTTTTTTGGGAAATGTTGAATTTTGAAGTTACTTGGGCAGATTGTCTTTGCCCCACAAGGGAAAAATGAAATCTTCCAAACATCAATGGAACCCTGAAGAGAAAGTTAGAAGCTTTTTCTGCCTTTATACACAGATTTTGATTTGGGTTTGCCTTATATATCTGATCAAATTTGTATGGAAACATTTCAAAGAAATCGATGTCTTGACTATCTAAACTAAAAGTCCATGGTTTCGGACCAAGTAAAAGAAATTGCAATGGAATATAATGAAAGAACAATAAAAAGAAAGCACGGTTTTATACAGTTTCTACAGTCTGTAGTCTATTTTCAGCTGGTTGAGACCTTGTTTCTCGGTTGGCAAACCATTGGACTGTTCTCTTAGCAATTGGGTACCAGTTTTGTCTCATTCTTTCTTGCTTGCCATTGTTTCCCAGATCAGAAGGCTCCCCAGTTTCAACTCTTGTGTTAAACTTCAAATCCAGGTCACCCCAAAATCTTGATATGCCTGTGATTTCTGAAACTGATCTTCTCTCATCTGGGCTGTTAATTCTTGCTGTTTGACATGGTTTTGCAGCAGATTCTGATGTAGAAGGAAATACCAGAATTGGAACTGAGTTACTTTGGCTTATTGTGCTGAATTTGCTGTCAAATGATCTCTTTATCTCCATCTCCTCCTTGATCTTCAAGATTTCTTCATTTTGCATTGATCTTGGTGCCGTTGACTGCTCAATGTCTGTTTCAAAGGAAGTGAATCTGCTGCTTGAAATGGAACCAATCATCTCTTTGTTCAAGAACATAAGGTCCGACGAACTGACGTTGCTCCATCGATTCATGAAGACGAAATCGGATACGATAATCTTGTGATTAAGTCTGTGTAGGTTCTTCATGTTTTCATCTCCATCACAGGCCTTCTGTATCAACATTTCCTCATCCTTTTCACTCTTTAGGATCTTTCTGAAGCTTCTTCCAATGCTGAATCTTGAAGAGCCATGGGGCTGCTGTTCTTGTTCTTGTTCTTGTTCTTCTTCTCTCTGTACAAAGAGCTCTATATTTGAGTCTTGTTTCAGCTCTGATTGATTGCTCAATAGGAGCCTCATGCTGCTTGAACTAGTGAAGAGCTTCAAGTCCTCAGAGCCAACTCTTTGCCTGCAAAGAGGACAGCTAGCGTGTTTTTCGAGCCAATGGTCGATGCAGTTGATATGGAACGCGTGCTTGCACTTTGGCAACAAGCGGAGAATTTCGATATCTTCGAATTTCGATAGGCAGACTGCACATTCCAGCCCTTCTTTGGATCCTTTCAGTGTGGAGAATCTAAAGAATGGAAGGGACTCGATCACCGTCTTGTCGATTCCGGAATGCCGAGAGCTCGATCTGATTTGTGCTGGATGGTTTACGCTATCCCCACGGACAGATCTCCTATGGCAGAACTTTGCATAGAGAAGGAGAACAAATGTCAACAGAAACATAACTCCTAGAATTCCTATCACAAAGCCAAGGCTTGGCTGAAATGCACTGTTTTCAGAATCTTGGGGATCAATTTGAGCTTCAACATGAAAGAACACAGAAAAGAGGCAAAAAGCAACCAAACTTAACCGCTTCATCGAGTCTTCAACTGCTGAAACTTACTCAAAATCTACTGATCCCAATCAAATAAAGCTAAAAACACCCTTTTTGATGGGCATAAAAGGGTGAGAGGAATTGAGGATTTTATACGAAAGACCCCTTAAATACACCTCTGCTAAGAGATTCATTCATCAGCTGTGCTGGTTCCTGAATCCTTCTCTGGCTGCTGTTCTATGACTTCGCCTTCACAAACCATTTAAAAATTTGCAAGTTTTATGGCAGTTTGAAATTCATAAGAGATGATGACAAAGTTGAGGAAATTTTAAATGTTGTTTACAAATGTGGGGCTCTTATTTGGTAGGCATTACTTGGGTGATAAGTAGCAGATAAATAGATAGAGGAGAAAAAACAATAGCTAGGCATCAAACTCTGACATCACCTTCTCCGAAACGAAACTTATCTCGACGCCACCAATCATTCTACTTAATGTGTAAATGGAACCAAATTATTACTTTATCATTTAACCATGGAATTCCCTTTTTCATGTGGATTGCCTGGCTTAAACAAATGGAAATTCTGAGTCCTGCAACATGCAGGGGATTAAGCACACATGCTGCACAACTCTCTGGCTAGTTTGTCTGTGTGTGCCTCTAGATTGGTTTTTTTAAGCTTTTATGTGACTTCAGAAGCCAAGTTATTGATAGGAAAATGAATAGATGTTTACACCATATGAATAAAAGGGGTCATTTATAAATCTAAGAAAAGTCTTCAAAAGAACTCAAAATTGTGTATTAGAAGACAACAGAAATGACAGCAGCCTCTCAAAATCCCAATAGAAAAAAATTTCTATTTCATATGGTTACAAAACAATTTGTCTATACATCTGGCTGCTGTGTGTACTTTGAAAGTTGAGCCCTATGTTCTCTATTTGCAAACCATTGGACTGTTCTTCTTGCTATTGGCAACCAAATCTTCCTAATTCTGTAATCTTCTGCATTTGATTCAATCACAGAAGTTTCTCTTATTGCATTCTCATTGAAATTGCCAAATCTTGAGAAAGCAGTGGTGTCTGAGACAGATCTTCTTTCATTAAGATTTATTGTCCTTGACGTACTTGCATTAGAATCTGATATGGAGGGCATACCTGTAATTGAAATTAAGGTGTTTTTCTCAGCTATGCTTATCCTAGTCTCAAATGATCTCTTCATTTCCATCTCCTCCTTAATATTTGAGATCCTTTTGTCCTCAGTTTCTCCCGTTTCCGACCGACGAATGTTGTCAGTGTCCAAGGAAGAGAATCTATTGCTTGACATGGCCCCAAGCATCTCTGTATTCAAGAACATGAGGTCAGAAGAACTCAAGTTGCTCCATCTGTTCATGAAAACAAAGTCAGATACAAGAATCTTGTGTTTATGCTTGTGAAAAACCACATGCTCCTCACTCTGGCGTTCCCTGGCTCCGTCTTTTTCCTTACTGCCCTTTCCAATTTTTCCGAAGCTGCTTCCAATGTTGAACCTTGAAGAGTTGTGATGATCTTCTTCTCTCTGCACAAAGAGCTCCATGTTTGGATCTTGTGGCAGCTCTGACTGGCTGTTGTTCCTCATGAGTCTCATACTGTTGGAACAGGTAAAGAATGCTACGTCCTCAACGCTGATCCTACACCGGCACATCGGACAGCTCGAGTGATTTTCAAGCCAATGATCAACGCAGCCAATGTGGAAGGCATGCTTGCATTTCGGCAGCAACCGAAGAACTTCGATATCTTCAAATTTGGATAAGCAAACTGCACATTCCAGCCCTTCCCTTGATCCTTTTAGCGACGAGAATCTAAAGAAAGGAAGCGAATCAATCACCTTCTGATCAACCCCGGAAAATCTCAAGTCTGATCTGAGAAGTCCAACTCCGAGATGAGCCCGCGGTCCACGGGAATTCCGGTGACAGAATTTCGCATAAAGAACAAGTATGAAGGCGAGGGAGAGCATGATTGAGATGATTCCAATAAGCATGGTGAGGTTTTCTGGAATACCAGAATCAGCTTTTGGTGGAGACACTTGTGCATTGGCATGAACAAGCAAAGTAGCCGTAATTATCAGAATGATTCTGCTAAACTTACTCATGGAGAAAACTCAAAAGGAAGAAAACTCTTCTCAACTCTAAATGATCCTTTGAAACAACACTTCAAAAAGAAGCACAAACTTCTCTCTCTCTAGTGGGAAATCTAGAATCAACTCTCTGATTCATTTGAAACTTTGTAGCTTGAAATTTCATAACAAAATTTGGGTTTCACAAAGCTTCTAACACCCAGAAAGGTACAATCTTTGTACAAAAAAGGCATCTGATGTGAAATATAATGCTCACAGAACCAGCCATCACATCTTGGATGCATTCTGGATTCAATTTCAGTTAGTTTCTTAAACCCTTCAATAATTTTAATGGACAGACCAAGTTTTCAAAGTTGAATTGATGTTAGAAATTATAGGATTCTAGATAATAAATGATTCATTAAAGGTAACCAAAAGTCAAATGTTAGATAACTTTGGAGCTGCAGAAAGTCAAGGTTGGATATTGTCTGCCTAATTTTGAAGGATAAGTTTTTAATCAGACAGCTAGCTGTAACCTCCATGTCCACAGGAAATTATAACTGGAGAAATTTTGTCCTTTTTCATTTATTTCTCCTTAAAAGTAATTTCTTAAAAATATAACACGTTTAAATCAAATTATACTTGAAAAGTATTCAAGGATCGAAATAAATATATCTATAAATACCATTCTGCTTTTCTGCTTTTCTTTTTCTTTGAAAATTTGTTTTTAGAAATAACATAATAAATATTTTATACATAAAAAGGGTTTTTAACCATACAAATTTAGAGACAAAGAATTCACACATTTGACTTCTTGAGATGATATTTTTTACCATATTGTTTTTGGGCACCTATGAAAAGGGAATTTTTATCCTTTTCTTCTCTAAGATCCCTTCTACTTGCGATTAAAAAAGAAAAAGAAAAAAAAAACATTACAGTGAAAATGAGTGAGAGTTGATTTTATTTAATATAAAAATAAATTTACAGTAATCCCTGTTTAAATTTCAAAACAACAAAAGCTAATTTCAATCTCAAAAAAAGACAGCGCAATAATATATGAAATCATGTGAATTTTAGTTTACATAATTGAATTAATGGCATGTTAAAGGAATTTATAAATCATCTTCATCAAATGAAAGTTTCCCTTCAATAATGTAAATCTTCTAGGTCATTCTTTGCACCTAAAATTGGAAAGTGAAAGCAAGTTGGCAGTGTAATAAACTGACACAAGATATTTGCTGACACGTGGATGATTCTCAACGATCTGATTGGTTGCAGCACGGAAAAGCTGACAAGATAATGCATGTGAAGCTGCAGAAAAATAGTCAATGTGGGTTGCTGACACGTGTAAAAGTTCCAACTGCTCTGCCAAACCAAACAGAAACAGCCATTCTGACCTCAATTAAATTTCAAACCACCAAAAAAGATGCTGCATTTGTCAACTTCTTCAGCTCCATTTCAGCAGATTTGGCGCTATTCAGCTGTAATATAGATTCAGAACATGATAGAAACAAGTCAGAAAGTACAAGATCTTCAACCTTCCTTTCCATCACAATTTGGTAAATTTCATGTAATTCCACCCAAAAAAGTAATTTACTCCAGGCTCTGGACAAGGTTTAGAACATTTGAATAGCTACAATCTATTGAGATTTCATGCCGTATTAAACAAAGAAACTTCACTGAATGTAATATTGTCATTCTCAGACCTTGCACAAAACTCGGTAGAATCAGTTAAAAACAGAACTTTCCCATTTCTCAAGATTGCCGAGTCAACTTTCCCAATTCCTATCTATGCAAACATAAACGTCACGAGTCAACTTTGTGTAGAGGTTGAAGGGTTGTTATTTGGAAATGGAGCCAAACTGGTTTCGTTCTCTGAACTAACACGCTCTTCACTAGCATGTCGAATGAATTCCTCGGGAGACATGTGTGTACCGTGGCAAGCACAGACGATTTTGATCTGGTTTGCATTGTATCTGTAAGTCACACCAGAAATTGTTCTTCCATTTGGACCTGGACCGGTGGTAGAAACCCAAGGTAGATTAGGGAATGAACCGCATCCCCCAAATTTGACATCTGCAGCGAGGCCTGGCTTTATAGCAGAGAATTCGTTTAGTAGACCTCCTGATGATCGTTCAGACACATCTTTCACCCCAAGGTTACTGCTGCTTCCTTTTGCCCCTGCTTGAGAAGAGGACCCTTCTTCAACAATTTGCGGTCTGCTATCAACTTTGGCCTGTTCTAACTTCCTGGCATCATATTGAGTAACCTCAGCTGAATTAGGAAGAATTCCTTGCATTCAACGAACATTCATGACAAAGGGTAAGAATTTATCTTAAATTACAAACTTCAAAGGAAAAGGAAATCACACAATGGTATATAGGATGGAAACATAGATACTAATGCAGAATGAAGGACATTGAAAGTGTTATTGGAATCCTTGATATCCGTTACGTCCATGTTAAAGCCAAGATCAACAGAAATCTCAAATTTGTCGAATGATAATTCTTCAAAATTCATTTCAGACAGCAAATTATGCATACTGATGCTCTGCTCATTAAGGTTCAATAATATAATATAAAGCTAAGATCAATCCAGACTAGAAAATGGGTGTTCAAGAAAGGGAACGGTAGCAGTTTTATTCCTATCTAAGAATATTAAAGAATCAGCTTTTCAGCTTTAAATTTCTATTTGCAATTAAGGTAGGATAGGATGTTTACCTGAAGAGGATTGAACTCTGCGACAGGGATCATGCAACGGTGGCTGGGAAATCAAACCCCGGGAATTATCTGTTTCCAAAATTGGAAGCTGGCTAGAAGGATATCCAAACATCAAAGGCAAGTTTCCAGGATTCATAGGCTGGACCCCACATTGCACGCCATTTCCAGCGAGTAATACTTGCCTTATGCCATGTAAAGAATGGCTAGTTGAACTGGATGCACCAGCAACGTGAGACTCTTTGACTGTTGAAGGAGAAATAACATTACGCATTGTAGTTTGAACAGTGAATGGAGCGCTTCTGTTGAAGTTATGAAGCTCAATATCACTACCAGATGAACTGTTAAACTTCTTCTGCCCACTCAGGTCTGCAGTACTTAACTCAGCATATCCATCGTTTTGTGAAACTGGCCTCGATGTAGAACCCTCACGTTCAGACTCTCCAACATCCTCATTTTCAGCTGCAGAGCCATCTTCAGTTGAGGAAATAAGTGATGTTTTTATCTTCTCATCATTCTGACAAGACTCTCCTTCATGCTTCTTCTGACAGTTTATCTCCTCAAGTAATAGCTTTCGTTTATTACCCACCTCTGGCTGTTTTTCTTCCTGAATGTCTACAGGGTTCTCATTTTTCATTACCCAAATTCCAGTGTCCTTCAAGTTCAGAGAATCATCTCCATCTATATGAGCCCGGGAAAGGTCGTTAAAAAATTTCTCCTTAGGCTTTATCGAGTCACTTCTCAAAAGACCTGAGCCCATATCTTGTCTCTGATTGCCACCTTGAAGGAAATTCTTGAAATCATCGATTATTTTACTGCCTCTATCACTTTCCTCTGCTCCAACATCAGAAGAGCAGGCATTTTTACCTTTGGATTTGGCCGATGATCCCCCACAAGACAGCCCCAAGCTAAGCTCAAGCCCATTATCCTCCTCCATGTTTCCAGTTAAACGTTTGATAACATGGTCCGGTCTTCACTCAGTCTCTATCTTGCAATCCTGAAAACCACCCAATATCACGAGTCATCGATCATCATCCATCAATACTTAAATCAGGCTGATACATAAAAAAGAACCCCAAATATAAGCAAACTATCAAATGTGATTAACGTATCATAACATTTAAACCTTGCCCAGCAACGAAACATAAATAATGCAAAGTATAACACCAAAGGACACAGAAAATTGCAAGATTCGTACTTTATCATTGCAGGTAGATCGATCCTCAGGCCCATAATAAACAAAAAAGAAGAAATTCATTACATTTCACAAACATGTGAACGCAATGGACATTTTAGCGCTTCTTCGACTGCTTCTAAACTTTATAGTGCATATAATTATAATCACCGAACAAGCAAATATTTTTAATCACAAAACCCGTGTTGGCATTTAGAAAGAAAATAATAAGCTCAACCATTTGATTTTAACTTACCTTAAATAAAAGCCTCGAGAAATTCAATTCACTTTCCAATGTCCAAACATTAGCTTTACACTTTTATCAATCCCAATCTAAACCAACCTACACAAACATAACATGTAAATTCACAACCTACACAAACATAACATGTAAATTCAGACGAACTCTCGCAGTACGACTTCCTACAGCGATCAAAAGTGTATAAAGGATCAAAATAAATATATGTGGCATTTGGGAACGGATTCAGAAGCAAGTAACATATCATGGTTTCCTGCATATATTCAGATAAACAGAACACCAGATATTGCAAACATACTTATCAACAAACAGAAGAAGTTGAAACATGATTTGAAAAAAAAAAAAAAAAACATAAAGCAACAGACCGAAGTCGTAGAAACAAAAGACCAACTAACAAAGTCAATCTTATAAAGAATCAAAATCCCATCGGCCATCTCAATTTAATTACTTCACACACACCTCAACCACAATAGTATCCAACACGATCCAAAATTCTCAAGACCACAAAAGAAATGGATCGATATTTTAAGAGTAAAGCAACTCGCCAAAAAAAAAAAAAATCGAATAAATTACCAGAAACAAAACGAATACAAAGTGACAGTAAGAACAGAGAAGAATAACCCTAAGTCAAGTGATCCTCCCAAGGGCAGCCAAGGAAGACCAAGAATGGACCCAAAAACGTGGATTATGGCACTGTGAGGCGGGTAGGAGAAAAATCTACTGTAGAAATGCTTGTCAACAGATTTGGCGCGTAGATTTCATCGGCCATTAATATGATCTCAGTCGCCTGCTCTGTTTTCTTCAGTAGAACGAAATTGTTGATTTGCCGAAAACTCCTTTTTCCCTCGCCCATTCATCGGCCCTGCTTTCGGAGCAATGGGCGGTGTTTTGGTGATCAAATCTGCAACTTTAGACCAGATCGGTCCACGGATTTTTATTTATTTATTTATTTTTATAACGGGACAGAAATTTAAAATAAATAGGCACGAGGAGAGAGACTTTCCCCACCTATTTTGTTTCTTTCCTTTAAAAAAGGATATAGTTATTATAATTGTTTTTCTTCATTTTCCCATACTCTTTTATTTTATTTGGATGTTTTTTAAATATTACTCATTTTCAAACATATTTTAAAAATAATATATATCTCAAAGTTATATAAAAGATAATGCTTCTTCAAATTTTCTGCTGAAGAGACTACCTCAGAGGTCGTCTACGATTGACAGCTGGAAGTCCAAGATTTTATTTGAATAAACAAACTTTGAATTAAACTTAAAAAAACATCTAACAGCCCGTTAAAAAAAAACCAAAAATCTTTAAACAAACAAACTTTTTTAAAAAAATTGATGTAACTAATTAAACATTTAAAATTTAAATTAAATATAACTTTGAAAAATTAGATGAAAATTAAATATATTTAGATATAAATTAAAATCTTAATTCAAATAGCACGTTGATGTTCTGCTTGTTACATGGCGATCTCTCGTGAGTCATCACTCGATTGAGTTCCGACATCTTTCATATTAGAATCATTTCCTAGTCTTTTAAGCGCTTCAATTCATAAATATTTATAGGAGCAAATCTCACACTACCATTTCATCTTATTTTTAAAAAGTTAGATTTAATTTAAATTTTAAATATTTAATTAGTTAAATCAAATTTTCAAAATTTAGTTTGTTTGAAGATTTTTTTAGATTTTTTTTAATGAGTTGTTGGATTCTTTTAGTTTTGATTTAAAGTTTTATTTTTTTTAATAAGATCTTAGGTGTCATTCATATGGGATATAAGAGTTTTTTTTTTTTTTTCCTTTAAAGAGAATTATCTTTAACAAATCATGATTCATCACTTACCTCCGCCGAAATGCACTGGGTAGTCTTGGCGGAGAATTTAAGAAGCAAAAATTAGTAATATTTTTAGAAAATTCTTTATTATTTTGGTTAAATTATAAAAAATACTCCTGAATTTTAGAGTTGATTTAAATAATAAACTTTCAAATTTTGTATTCTTACTCCTAAACGTTAATTTAGTTTAAAATTATCCCTCTACCAATTTTTTTCATTAAACTGAAGACATGACAAAAATTTTTAAAATAGTGGTACTCTAGCATAGGTGATAAGTTTTAATTATGCTTCTAAACTTTAGGATAGATTTTAGTTATATTTTCATTTTAGCACTTACCTTTAAAATTGTTTAAAACCACTTTATTGGCTTCCTATTAAAATGAAGATGAAAATATAACGTAGTGATGAGTTGAAAAATCAAAGTTGTCTTAATGTACTTGGGCAGTGAGCTGTAAAAGAGTTGAATGGTTTTAATCACATTTAAAATTGGGAAAAATAGATTTAGGAGATAAAGTTTTGATTGAAATGATAAAGCCACGTATTGTGAGAAAAGTCAAAGAAGAGAGGATTCAAAGAGAGAAAGGTTCATAAGTTCCTGGAGAGGAATAATATTATTCATGAGAGAAAATTTAATGTGAAAGAGTGGGTCGATTCAAAGCATGGGTCTATGGAAGCTAGAAGAATGACAAAGAAAAAGGCTCTCTGGTTTTTTCTACAGTTCAACACAACGTCTTTTTTCCATCATCATTTTAAGGAGGGAAACTAATGAAATTGTTGTTTTGAAATAATTTCAATCAATGATTAAGAGTTAAAATGATAAGATGGTATAATTGAAGTGTGTATCCTAAATGAATCTTGAAACATTTGGTAATTGTTACTGCTATTTTATAGATCATCCTCACGTCACTTTTCCATCTTGATTTTAATAGAAAAGTTGATGTTGAGTAATTTTGAAAGAAATTTAAAGTTTAAGGGTAAAAATAAAATTTTCTTTTTGAAAGTTTATTGATATTATTCAAACCTATATCCTAAAATTCATATGCATTTTGTATATTATTTGACCTTTTCTTTTTATCAATTTATTGCTTTGGTTTCTTCCCTCCAATCTATATCAATGTTTTTCTTTTCGAGGCTTTTTAAGTAATTCTTTATTATATTTTTAGAGTGTTTGAATTAATTTCTAGATGATTATGGAATTTCAAAAGTGTCTTTTCTAAAAAAAAAACCAATGAGTTTTTAATGACAAATAAAAACCACTTTTACAGTAATCAAATTGATTTATAATCATTTTTTGGATAACTATTTAAGAATTGACCAGAAATCACTTTATGATAACTTAGTATTAGTAAATTCATTTTTAGATGTAGTCAACCAATTAGCAGATGTGATTAAAATCATTTTTAAGAACACAATAACCAACACACAAGTATTTTACTTTAAACTATTTTTTAGAAAGTAATTTTAAAAAATAAAAAAAAAATCTCTTAAAAGTAATTAAATTAAAGGGTAGACCAAACTCCCCTTAATCTTTTCAAGCTCTCAATTTTATCAACAGTGTATTGAAAATTTTCATTTAGGTCATTCCGAAAAAGAAAATCAACAAAAGTCCTTTACACGTGGTTAAATTGTTGCTTTATTGACATTGGATCATGTGGACGTAAATGAATTTTGTCAAATGACAACTCAGATTTTGTCACATACTCCAATTATATTAGGTTCATAGAAATATAAAAAAAAACGTTAGTAATTACTAATTAGCCAATTTGAGCAATATTTCCGTGTTCTAACTTTGTACTTTTATAATGATAATAATAATGTCAAAACGAGCGTAGCTCAGCTGTAATTGACATATATCTTTAAAGATGGTGAATTTGATTTTCCACTTACAGATGTTGTACTAAAAAAAACAATAATAATAAATAATGCAAAATGACCGTGACCCTAACCCTAACCCTAACTAAGCAGTGATGATCGTAGTAAAGCGGTGTAGGTTTCCTTTGCAGAAAGCCAAAAAATAAAAAAGAAAGAAAAGGTTTTGAATGGGCCGTGGAATAATGGGCCGTGATGGTGAATAACGGAGGCCCATCAGGGCGGGTGGTTCATGGGTGTTCCCAGAATAATGGCAAAACAGAGGCCGTGGGTGCGACGATGGCGAAACATCCATAAAGTGAGGAACTCTCCGGCGTGGGCGTGCGTCAAATTATTGGCTTTGCAGAACGGCTTCCACCCTTTCATGAGCACGTACAATTTTGAAGCCCAAATCTTAAACGTCATACCGAATTCTCTCCCTTCTCTGTTATAAACCGTCACTTCAATTCCCTCTCTCAGATTCTCATTCTCATCCTTGTTGTTAAACATTGGAGCCAAATATTTGGTCACGAATTCCTTCCCAATCGCCAGCCGCCCTTGCGCCTCCGCCACGTCGCTTACCGTCAGCCTCTTCTCGTACGCCCGGCTGCACTGCCCGATCACGTCCCTGATCGCCGGCACCGGTGGCATCCCCCGACGCTCTTCGCCGTCATTGTTGTTGTTGGGTGGATCAGGAGGAGCTTCTTGGTTGACTTGTTTGTTTCTTGATGAAGATGGTTGTCGTTCTTCGTCAACGTTGACGTTATTGTTATTGTGGACGTTGTCGTTGATGTAATGCCTTTTCTTTTTGGGCTTCTTAAATAACGTTACGCCCTGCGGGAATGTTGTGAGACGACTTGTTGGAAGAAATCGCGTAACTGATCCTTCATTGCTCTTACTCATCATATAAAGAGTCATGGCTGCCTCGTACACTTCACTGTCTTCTTCCTTCTTATTATCATCCTTCCCCATCATTTTCAATATGACTGATTAACAATTAAAAATTACTTAATTACGAATAATTAAGTAAAAAAAGAAAAACTCCTATTATAATAATGCATAAATTTCTAAAGATTATTAGGTTTCTACGTGTTTGACCTTATAGATTTTAAATTTCCCACGTTTGGAGTTCTCTCATTAGGGCTAACATTAAGAAGTTAAATAAATTTTTTAGAATATTTATTTTGAGAGGCTGAATATATCCAAGATTCTTCCAAGAATTCTGAAAGCTAAAATTCACATTAATTATTTATTTACATTAATATTGTAAATATATCATACGATAAAAGCATTAAAAAAATAATGAAAATCATGAAAATCTTACCTTGGTTGAGAGAAAAATAATAATAGATATCACAAATAGAATCAACGTTATAACTTTGTTGTTAAATTCTAAAAGGAAAAAAAAAAGTTCATAAGAGCACTTCACTTGAATTGGTTAAAGTCAAGAAAGAGATCATTACCTTATAATTAATACCGATGAATACTTTAGGAGAGCAATGGAAGAAGATAAGTGGAAAAAATGTGGTAGGAGAAAGGTTTTTTGTTTCCCAAAATTTGGGAGGACGAGATTAATGCAGCAGGCGATCTTATATACTATTTGGATGAGTGAGAGTGCTCACTCCAAACTTGTACTTAATAGTTATTAGACAGGTAGATATATTTAACCTTGCATCTAACGGTTATTAAAGCCCATAGATATATTTTATCCTTGCATCGAACGGTAGTTAACAGGCATCCTTGTTGAGTAGTTTATTCAATGATGATTGGTTGATTATTTGGAAAAGAAGATAGAATTTTTTAAAATTAACATCGTTTAAAAAAGAGGCTTTGGATCTTGATAATTTGTTTGAAATCTTTTTTAACAAATAATAACATAGAATAGAAATTGTACCAGGCGTTTCCAAGAACGATATATATTATTTAGTTAATAATAAAATTTAAATTAATTTGGTTATTTCAAAATTGTAAATAACCAATCAATGAGTCCAGCCCAGATAACTTTATTTTAATTTAAAGTTACAATTTATTTGAATAGATCAATATACACCCCAAATTGAATTTATGACCTGTCCCAAAGTTTCAATTTCTTTGACTCATCGGTTAAAAATTGGAAGACACCACGTCAGAAGAAATAATAATAATTAAAAATTACATTAGTGTTTATGTTATTTGTTCTAGAAATTTGACCTATTGAAATTACTAGGTACCAATTCTAGAATAAAAATGATTCAGAAAAATCTGAAAAATAGAAAAATTATACATTAGTGTGGTTGTGCCAGCCACACGTATTCTGATGCTTAAATTAGAATCTACGTTTTATGTGAAGTAGCAAATAGTAGAGTTTGTGTAGCTTACTTTCGTTAGGAATATTTTCTTTTTATTTATAGAGGAAGAAACCTATAGTAAAAAATCTTTCTATGGAAATCTTTTAAGATATTCTTATTTTTTTTTCAAATATAAGGAGCTAAATATCTTTTTTTTTTTGAAGAATTCCTTAATTTTGAATTTTTAATAAAAATGATTTCAAATTAGAGAAAATAGAAATTTTCCTTCCCATAACATTATTTTAATTTCAATATAATAACTACTAAAATAATTGGAAAAGTATAACTCACGTACCATTTAGAAAGTATGAAAATTTTGTTAACCCTTAGAAAACCAAGTACTTTTTTAATTTCTTTGGGATTAAAAAACAAGTACTGATCATTTGTTTTTCTTTTGAAAAAGAAAATTTAACATTGGTGCTAAGAATAAAAAAATAAAAGCTTACAAGTACTGGTCATTGGTGGTAAGAATAATGTACAAATTATTATTTTAACATATTTTCAAAACACTTATAAAACGTAACCCGCCCTCAAATCCATAAAATTAAGGGTAGTTGCAAATGTGATAAAAAAAAATTAGTAAAATAAGCAAAATAGTAACCACATTTAGTTTTTTCAAATATAGCATTTAAAAAAAACGGAGGTCTAATTTAAAAATTACAACTTTACCCTACAATATATATATATATCTAATATACATTTGTAATATATCTACAATTATCGACTACTGATATATGTATCTGATATACCAATGATATAATAATGATATACAATTGATTTACTTTTGATATAAATATGATATCTACTGAACTTATAACATGGCTTACCACTGATACATGTATGATAACCATTGATTTACCACGCCGATACAACATTTATATATTTGTGATATATACTTGATATGTGTCTAATTTAGCATTGATATACAAACAATATACACTGATATAACTATGATATCTACCGATATAACTTATTGTATATGATTTACCACTAATATAACACTAATATATATTTGATATATACTTAATATGCTTCTAATTTACCACTGATATACCTCTGATATATTCATGATATCTACTAATATAACTATGATACACGTGTGTTGATATAATACTATTATATCCATTTTTTTTTCATATGAAAACAATAGTACAAAAAAATTTGTTGAAATATAAAGTTATTGTATAAAAGGTTTATGTGGACCATGTACGTAAAAAAAAAGTTAAAAATTTGATATACTTTATAAATTTAAACGGCTGATATCTCTTATATTTAGTATCTAATTAATTAATATAGAATAAATAGTAGTGATATAGTAATCAACATTTTTAATAATATTAGTATATCAATCAACAAATTGTAATGGTAAATTAGTATTTATAAGAGCTAATATACCACTGAAAATTAAACATTTGATATACCTTATATTTAGTATATCAATTGCAATTATATTTAGTATATCATAAATTAGAGGTACATCAATTATATATATTAGAGGTATAATACATATATATGATAATGTATATTATGGATACATCTGATGTATATCTGAAGTATATCCAAGGCACATCAGATGAATAAGATTTTTTTTCTTAATTTCTTATATTCAATGTCGTGTGGCCGACTTACATGAATCTGTGTAATAGGGATTCGTTGTCTGAGATGAGAAACACAGTGACCAATGCAAGGATTAAACTAATTGACATCTCAAGATAGGTGGTACCTCACAACTCCAAACTTTCATCGTCTCCCAGAGATAGTTCAATAAATAAGATATCTATTACAATTTCAAAGATCCAGGATTCAACCTCTCACCTATGTAATTATTCAACTAACAAAAAGTATAGTATTAATTTAACAAAAATATTGATAAATAATAATAAACATTAAAGAAATCACCTACTTTTAATTTTAGGAGCAATTAAATCCAAATAAACAAAAATCTTCCAGGATGTGTGTAACCACTCGTGGTTATAATCCATTAGTTACCACTTGATCAAAATGGTCAAACCCACCGATAAACTAACAAAAATGATTACAATTTAACTCTAAACCCTAAATCTTAAACTACATAAATGGTTGCAATTATATATAATCAAACTTATAAAAAAATTATAAAAAAATTTGTAATTAAGTCTGTTGACGGAGAAATTTCAGCTAATCACTAAATGTCATGTTACAATTTTAAATTATATTTAAGACCAATCATAAAATTACACGTGTCCTAATTAATTTAAATTGTGTCCTAAATCAATGGATGAAATAATGCCACGTGTCTCTCCTGGTCGTCCGATGAAATCAATTAATTGGACCAAACCCATAAGGAGATTGGACTCAAGCCCATGGCCCATATGTGACCCACCAAGTCTCTATAAATAGAGGGAGTCACATCCCATTCAGGGGATCCAGAGCAGAGGCACTCAGAGGATTGAGAAGAATTGCAGACTCAAACTTGAAGGCTTGAAGATTGAATTGTCACTCCGCCAAGCAATCGACCGAAGAATTCTTCGCAAGACTTGAAGATCTCATAATATGCACTTCAAGCAAAGGAACTCTTCACAAGCTACAAGCCGAAGACTTCACAAGCCGCAAGCTGAAGAATTCGCAAGCCGAAGATTTCATCAAACATCCAGTTCACAGCCGAAGATTGTAAAAATTCTTCAATACGCTCGAGACTGAAAGTGATAACCTCCTTGATTCGAGAACAAGTTCATTAACCCTCGAAGCGAGTTTACGTCAGAGAGAATTAATCAGAGGATCATACAGTAGAGTTGTAATACTTATACATAAATATAAATCAAGTTCATTAAAGTCGAGTTTCGTTCATTGAATTTCTCATCGAACAAAGTCCAAATAAAAACACAGTTTATAATTGTAGAATTTAATTAAACAACAATTTTATAATAAAATGATGACTTGTTCAATTAAAAAAGTTAAACATGTCAAACAGCCACGTACTTTAATTTAAACATGTTGATTTGCTTGTATCGTACTTGTGCCCCAAAATGTCCCTTTAGATGTAATATTGATCTATTTTTATTTTATAAAGTTGGGTGAATAATTATTTTAATAACGTTTTAGCCAATAAACATGTTAATGTATATATTTATATATATATATTTACGAAGGATCCAGGAAAATTACTTTCTGGAAGGTCAAGGACTTTTTTTTTATTGATATAATTAGAGACTAAAAAAAAGTTTAATGAGGAAGAATGAGATTATTTTAAAGATTTATTAGACACAATTTTAACCTTAATGAGGTGTTTGATTCACTGATTTTGAGATGAGGAGTAAGGTGCTCGGGTAAAATCCATGTTTGTTAATCCAATCCATAGTTTGATTTGAATCCATCCATTTTCTTTTAATTTCTTCAATGAAATTAAATGATGTGGGGGCATTAATATTAGTTATGCATTAGACTAAGGTCAAAATCATTTATTTTGAAAGTTGTATAAACCCAATAATGAAGACTATATTGTTAATTCATCAAGCAATTTCAACACCGTTACATCATCTGCAAGTATATAATATTAATTAAAGAGCATATCCAAATGTTGTTGTAAGGAATCTTCTTATATTATGTCGGAAATAAATGCATGTACTTATTTATTCCAAAAGAAAAAAAAACTTTGGAGAAAAAAATGATAAACTGCTGTTTATTTATTTATTTATAATGCATGGAACAATCATACCTTTTCATTTGAGGAAAGCATAACACAAAATTAGTTTATTTATTTTTTTACTTTCTGTTTGAATAATGGATGTGTAGGGTAGTTGACTTGAAAAAACAATTGAAAGGTTTACAAATTTTATGTGGAAAATCTCTATAGAAAAAGACCACGAAAATTATATGACAAAATATATGTAGGTAAAAGAAATAAATTGTTATCAAGGAATATATAAATTCGAAAGAAAACTCTAACTAATCGAATTTAATCTATCTACCACTAAAATATATTTCAAAATTTATTGTTTAAAATAATCATACAATACAACACACTTTTTAATTTAGTCAAGAATTCAAATCACACATTTATAGTAAAAATTAATTGCCTTTACCAAAAATAGTTTATTCTTTTTTCTTTTTTTTTTTTTTGCTATTTAGAGAAAATTACTATCCGATGGACGATTGAAAACTTATTTTCATTGCTGGAAAAAGTAACTTCACTAAAAGACAAGTTAGCCTTCCTCCGTCCAATTTTCACTTCTTCAAAACGTAACTTTACTATGGCCCACAATTCCACTAGTGGAAAAAAAAAATTGATAAATGAGCAACGACTTTTGAATTTTGTAAATATAGGTATGAAATATTACTGAAATATCAGCATTTTTTCTTTTGAAAATAATTGAAATATCAGCATTCAAATCAATGTATATAAATATAATATAAATTAGATATATATGTATGTCATTGTTTATCCTCTCTAATTGTGCTAAGTGTAATTTAAGATATATTAAGATATATTGGACCTTCCTATTTTACTATTTTTGCGAAATAAAAAAGTGATCGTTATTTTCACAATACTAATTGTTATTGGGAGAAAAAGAAGATCCAACGAAGCAAGAGAAGACTGGAGGAGAGCCAAGAGAAGGCACGAATCAGGAAGGAGGTCGGGACTCGGCGACCCAAGTCGCCTCCTCGGCCGACCACTGCAGTTCTCGATCGAAGACCTGAGAATTCTAGAGACTCGACTCGACCGTGATGCATGCCGATCAGAACCATCGTGTCTCAACTCTTGATCTGACGACATGCCCATAACAAGATACTCTGGCCTAGATGACTAGATTTCGTAGATGTATCAGGGATTTGACTTCTGTAATCTTTAGTGGATCAGGGTTTAGCTTCTATAAATATGGAAGTAAGCAAGATCCTAAAGTATGTTCACAATATCCAAAATCATAAAGGTATGCTCACCATACCCTAACTTAAAGCATCGGAGTCGGTGTGACAAGAGCCGCACCGATCTTAGTGTTTGTCTTAGTGCTATTCTGTTTTGCAGGTCTCGTCCATCCTTTTATTTTAGAAGACCAAATTTCTGCATCAACAATAACCTTTCACTAGTTCCATAAGTCCTAAGAAAAATATCCCTTTTTTCGAGATATTATAAAAGGTTTCCTACGAGTTTAAAACACTACTAAAATATAGATATACCATATATTTTAAATTCATGGCCCAGCGAAAATGTAGGTGGATATTTAGATAAACAAAAACAGTTGGAAAAAGAGTGGATAAGTACACAGTTAATTTAAGAATATACAACAGCAACAGCAAACCTGGAATTAATTAATTTTCTTCCTTATCTCCAATTGAATTTCCGTGCTTCTCTCTTAACTAACTCCATTTTTTAATGATGCCTCCATTTTGCTTCTTCAGTCGCAGTAAAAACCCACCTTTCAATGGATAACATCAATGGACTTTTCTTTTCCACACACACAAAACAAAGCAACTAAATCCTCTTGTTTTTCTTCACCACACAAATATATACGCATACTAGAAGATTAATTTTAGGCTAAATTATATTTGGTTTCAATAATTTCCATGAAATTTTGCTGCCATCTCGGGATAAAAAGAGGACAGTTTACTAAAACAAGAAAACAGCTCGTCAGTTCACAGCTGTGCAGAGGGGTGGGGTAGCGTTTGTTCACTGTATTGTGTATTCCATTGAAAAACTTCTTTATTTATAAATAAGATAAGAAAAAATGGGAGCTTTCGTCTTATAAAATTCAATTAGTCAACTCTCGTCTGCACATGGGAACCATGGCCCCATCCTCCTCTTTTTGAATCCTCGTTTCTTCTCTATACTTTATCTGTCGATTTTTCAAACACAAGTGGATTGAAAAATTGATATATTCATTTCTTTGGTTCCTTGTTCCAAGCTTGACTCCAGCAGCTGTAGTGAAGTTCTCTTTTTCTTTTCTCTTGAAATACAGAATCCCACGTCGTTTTTCTTTTCAGTTTTGGAGACGAGAGAGAGAGAAATGGCTGGAGGGGGGTTTTCAGATGGAGGGCCACTGAAAAGGGCTCATCTTTATGAGTATCGGATTACTGGGTACTTCATTACTGCTTGCATTGTTGCTGCTCTTGGTGGGTCTCTCTTCGGCTACGATCTTGGTGTTTCTGGTATGTTTGTTTTCCATTCAAAAAAGTTCAAGTCTGTTTCAGAACTTTTTCATAGCTTCCTTTATGTTTTTCCCTCTGTGATTCTTCGTTCGTCTGAATTTTGAATCGAATTTGAAGTACTGAGCAGAAAAAAGCTGGGAAATTTCAAACAGGGAACTCTGTTTTTTGAAATAACTCTTCCAAGTTGAACCTTGTGGAACTTGACCTTCTGTTTGTATGAAATTAGAGATGAAAGCATTATTAGTGCCCATTTTCAGTTAAAAGAATAGAGAGCTGTATTTGCAGGCCTCTATAGCATATTTTTCTGCTTTTGATTCTACGTATTGATTGTGTTCAATATCCATGGTAAAGATGGACTTTTGTGTTCTAAAAATCTCAGGTGGGGTGACTTCCATGGATGATTTCCTCGAGGAATTTTTCCCAAAAGTACTCAGAAGAAAGCATCTACATCTGAATGAAACAGATTACTGTAAATATGACAACCAAGTTCTCACACTCTTCACTTCCTCTCTATACTTTGCTGGTCTAGTTTCCACTTTTGCTGCTTCTTATGTAACAAGAAAGCGAGGCCGAAGAGCGAGCATCATCGTCGGATCGATCAGCTTCTTTCTAGGCGGCGCGATCAACGCTGCTGCGAAAAACATTGCAATGCTGATCATCGGACGGATTTTTCTCGGCATCGGTATTGGATTTGGGAACCAAGTGAGGAGCCTGCTGGTAACTTATGCTGAAAATATGAAGTTTGTATCTCATGTCTAACTCTTGTTTTCTTCTGATCTTTTGCAGGCAGTGCCGTTGTATCTATCCGAAATGGCCCCGTCGAAAATCCGAGGAGCGGTTAACCAACTGTTTCAACTGACAACTTGCTTGGGGATTCTGATAGCAAACTTCATAAACTATGGAACTGAAAAAATCCATCCGTGGGGGTGGAGGCTGTCTCTTGGCTTGGCCACAGTCCCAGCAAGTTTGATGTTTATAGGGGGGATTTTCCTTCCTGAGACGCCCAACAGTCTGGTGGAGCAGGGCAGATTGGAGGAGGGGAGAGCTGTGCTAGAGAAGATCAGAGGGACGAAGAACGTTGGCGCCGAGTTCGACGATCTGATCGACGCAAGCAACGCAGCACGAGCGATCAAACACCCATTCAAGAATCTCCTGAAGCGAAAAAACCGACCCCAGCTGGTGATTGGAGCATTGGGGATTCCTGCATTCCAGCAACTCACTGGCATGAACTCCATTCTGTTCTATGCTCCTGTGATATTCCAGAGCTTGGGGTTTGGATCAGATGCAGCCCTCTATTCATCTGCCATCACAAGTGGTGCCCTTGTTCTTGCTACATTCATATCAATGCTTTTGGTAGATAAGTTTGGCAGGAGAGCTTTCTTCCTTGAAGCCGGTACCGAAATGATATGTTGTTTGGTAAGTTTACGACCTTTAAACCAACATCATTTACATAGTATCAAAATAGAAAGTCTTAACGTATCATGTCATGTTGCCTGTAGATTGCAGTAGCAGTGACCCTAGCGCTTAAGTTCGGACAAGGGGTAGTGCTTCCCAAAGGGATAGGGATCTTCCTTGTGATTGTGATCTGCATATTTGTGTTGGCTTATGGAAGGTCATGGGGGCCGCTCGGGTGGCTGGTGCCGAGCGAGCTGTTTCCGTTGGAGACGAGATCGGCGGGGCAGAGCGTGGTGGTGTGCGTGAACTTGCTTTTCACCGCTTTGATAGCACAGTGTTTCCTCGCAGCTCTGTGCCATCTCCGGTACGGGATCTTCTTACTGTTCGCGGGTTTGATTGTAATAATGAGCAGTTTCATCTTCTTCCTGCTGCCAGAGACAAAGCAAGTGCCTATTGAAGAAGTGTATCTGCTGTGGCAGAATCACTGGTTTTGGAAGAGAATTGTTGGACAAGAGGGAGTGAACGGGAATGCCAAAGCAACAGGACAATGGAATCAAAATGTGTAGGAAGGAACAAGAACAACCAAACACCAAAATCAAAAGAAAGTGTCATTTCATAATATTGTTTGAGTTTAAAGAATGCATATTATAGTAAATTGGTATTTGTGTTCATTCCACAGTCATATTATTTAACTAACTCTTAAGCTAATTAAGATCCCACTCAAGGATCTGCCTATTGTAGAGTTTTTATGGCCTTTTTCTTTTTCTTGGTCTCTTACTTCTGAGCTCTAAAGAATGGATAGAAAACACTTGTGTTGGTGTTATGCTTTCAGAGTCGCAGTTTTGAACTTTTTGATCATAGGTTTTAAAAATTTAACACATAAAATGATGAATTGAAAAACGATGCATACATAAACTATCATACGTTGGTTTAGGAGTGAATAAAGACCAATATAAATACTAAAATGTTCAGAGAAAATGAGTTCAAACCAACGGATTAAAATAATGTATTCGACTATACCGCGAAATCATAAAATTAAATCAGATATTGCATTCCTCGTTTTTAAGAAAATTTGTTCAAGCCTCCTGTGAAGAAGGTGTTACAGCCTGGATCGACTCAACCCCTATGTGGCTAAACGACATTGAAGTTTTAAATTCATTTAATTAACTTTAAATTTAAATAAGTGATGAAAATTAATAACATTTATTGGTTGAATTTATAAAGATTCTTATAATTGAGCAAGAGTACTCTTCTGGTTGGGTTTTAAATATTTTGGTAACGAGTTTAGGTAATCTTTAATTGTTTGATTATATCGTCGGAGATATTTATAAAATTTATTGACCAATTTATGAGTGATTTTTAAATTGGGGTGTGAAGAATATTAATCTCA